GTCAGCCGCGTCTTGCCCACCATCTGGTAGAAGGGAGCTAGGATGATCTGGATCCATTCCATATGCTCTGCAATTGCGTTAATGCCGCCGCACAGACGCCGGATGCCTGCGACCGTCGTCGGCATCTCCAGTGCTCGCATTGTTTCCACTCGGTGGTCAAAGGCCTGCCATGTCCGGTCGGCGGACCACCGACGCCCCAAGATCTCTACGCCTGTAGTCGCGCACCACAGTGATTTGGACATGTTAATCGTGACATTCGCACGGGCCAGACACCGAGCAAACAGCCCTATATCGTGGATGTGATCAGTCTCATTGCCGGTGGTCGACTTTAGGTAAACATTATCAATGTAGACCATCAGACGTGGCCGCAGCTCTGGCACGCCGGACAGAACATGGGTCAGGAAGGCCTGGGCAATGGCAGGGGATTCGGAGTTTCCCTGCACCATGCGTAGGTTGCGTACCTTGCCTGCGCTGCCCCCGTCATAGGTCCAGAAGTCTGCGACGTCCTCTGCCAGGCGCAGCTGCGTAAAGAACGATGCCATGTCAACTGACGAGATCAGCTTGGCATCACGCAGGAACATAATGCGCTCGACTGGCGTCGGCAGCTGCATTCCAACGCTCAGCATATGTAACGAGTTGTTTGCTGAGTCGTCGAACAGCACACGCCTGTCCGTCGAGTTCGGCTTAACTTTGGAGAACACAGGGACCTGGGCGAATGCAACCGATGGACCGTCTATTCCATACTTGAGCCGGTTGGCAACGAAAGAGTTTCGGGCCTTGTGAGCAGGCTCGCTGAGTGTGTGTTGGACGGTGTACAGGGGGCACGCGTTTGTGCGCATTGGGGGTCGGATGGGCGCATAGGCTGCTGGCGGCGGGCAGCCACTCGGGTACTCACGTAGGGCGCCAGCAGCAGTCATAAGGGTCTTTAGCAGGGATTTGTGGAGCTCGTCCGTAGTGCACTGATCCGTTGTGCGGCTAGCAACATTTTCCGTCGTCACTGCTGGATACAGTGCATCCCACTTGTGGAAGTCGGCATCGCGCGCTTCAACAAAATAGCCAGTTGGTAGGCCTAGTCGTGCCCGCATTGGGCGTGAGACAACTGGTTCCTTGATCGGGGGCGCATCAGGCGGGCCGTCCATTAGTGGGAACATCTGCGGGTCTTGTGCCACTGTGGGGTCTGGCATAGTGTCATAATCCGAGTCGCGTACAGCACGGGGACCATCGGGAAGTTTGTCTGGGTGGTCAGGGGTGCGTTCTGTGCCCTTAAGGCGTCGGCGCATTGCTGGGGTCATGAGGCGGATGCCCAGGCCCTCTTGGGCATGGTTTGACACCAGCAGCTCCCATGGCACCTTCATGTCGACAACGACTGCATCGTCCCAGAACTTTGGGCCACCCTCGACCTGCAGGCAGACGGTGGCCCGCCCAATGCTCTGGTATGCCTTGTCTGACCAGATGGGGAACAGGTCTGGCCTCGAGTTGGTGCGGATACGCAGCTTCAACCGCTTGGCAGCAGCCATGGTGACCAGGCTGACAGCAGCGCCATTGTCGGCTACAGCCATTGCTGGCTTATTATGTGCGCGGAAACCGGGTGTTTTCGTAAAATGGCACAGGGCGGCCTGAGTAGAGTTAAACATATTTATTGTCCCAATAGTGTAACTGATACCCAAGCCGCTCAGGCTTTTGGGTCATTGTTGCCATATGAAAGTAGGGTTATCTTGTGGACTGTCTCGAATGCCTTGAGTCGGTCCAGGAGGGTCTCAGCAGTGACATCATTGGGCGCACTTCCTGTACATGCCCAGGAGCGGGTGTCAAGGCCATGTACTAGGCGTGAGATAGTGACTGCAGCATAGTCGCCACCACCCATGGCCTTGTAGAGCCTGCGCGCATAGTTGACCCTGTCCACTGCAGGGATGTTCTTGAAGGCCTTGGCTGGGCCTCCAGCAGCGATGCTGTGTGCCTTGGCCACAAAGTCTGCTTGCGGGATGCATTCAAGGAGCTTCTCAAAGAACTCTTCTGGTGTGTTCACGTCTAGGGTGCCCATGCGTCTGGCAGCTTGTCCGTCAAGCAGCTTTTGGAGTGCTGTGACAATCATTGCTGCAGGAGTGCGGGTAAAGATGAAGTTGATTGTCTCTTGGATCCCTGCAATCCACTGCTTGGTTGGATTTCCGATATCTTCGCCATTGAACCGCTTGGCATAGTCTCGGAGCAGGTCCAGCTCCTCTTTGGCAGCCTTGGCTGGGGTCTGGGCAGAGGAGGTGGTAGTCAGCTGGGCAGTAGGGGCAGTAGGGGCAGTGGCAGGAGGTATGGGGTGAATTGCAGTCTGCATTGTCACGTCTGACCTGACGGACATTGTTGTGTTTTTGTTTTGTTTTATGTATGTAAGCGAGTAATAAATTTTGTTATAGTAAGAGGGGGGTGTGAGGAGCACTAGTTGTCTAGTGTTAAAAGTTAGGGGTGATTTTATAAAAGGTTTTATTACTGATGTTTCTAAAGTACTACTAGGGGCCAGCCTCATCTTATATATGTTCCCAGTCGCCTTTGTCGTGCACATTGTCCATTGTGCGCTCCATTGGTGAGAACTGGATCTTCTGCGAGTAGACCGGTATCTTGGCAAGTTGATGTTGTGGTTTTCGTGCGTGTACGCTTATGCGTGTGCATTACAGGATGGGGGGCATGTTTGGGCATCAGTGTGATGCCTCCCTGATTTACACCTGCATTATCCAATTTGCGTCCTATCGATCAGCGCGCAGGTGGGAACTTGTTTCGCGGTTCTCGACCTCAACATCTGCTTCCATATCTTCAGTCTGCGCAACAATATGTACAAGCAAATTTTGGATTGCATTCATATATTTGACATTTGAAAATAGGCTTTATGTAAATTATTTGTTGGACTTCCAGACAAAAACTTGTATATATAAAGCAACAATGCGCGTCTCATATTCCAGGTATTCAGTATCCTCACAACACTGCTCACTCAGCTAACACTTTCCACTTTAGATTAAATACCAACTACAACCGCAACATTTGCAAACATGCTTTGCTTTGCCACTATCATCACCGCTCTTGCTGCCATTGCTGCCTTTATTGCGCCTGCTGCTAATGCCAGCCCCGTTTCTGCCAGCTACCAGTCCACCGAAAACACTTGCGGGAGTGGCAATGTTAACGGTGGCAGTGCTTATGGCAATGCTTATCCTTACAACGCAGGATACAACAACAACGCCTACCCCTACGGCGGAGCATACAACGCGTACAATAGCTACGGTGGTACTGGAAATTACGGCGGTGCTGGCAACTACGGCAATATTGGCAACTACGGCGGTGCTGGCAACTATGGTAATATCGGCAACTATGGCGGTGTTGGTAACTACGGTAGTGTTGGCAGCTACGGAAGCTACGCATCGGGCTTTCCAATTGCGCTCAGCACGGTCAACAACTTTGACCGCGACTCCTTTGCTGCTAACTACAACGACAACACTTATTACTCCAATAACAAGGACGCCAGCGTAACTAGTGACAAGGTCAGCTCCTCCAACAGCGCCAACGTCATTGCTTAATTGTTTGCTTTGTCAAGCATTGGCAGGGGTTGCCTATATGGTGATAGACATCGAAAATAGACCAAATTAGACATTACACACACAAACTCATTCACCACTTAATAAAATATATTTTTGGAATAGCTCGAGTTTGCCTCAACTAAAATATAGATTACAAATATATCCACTCATTTCGTCATCTAAGTGCATTTGATGAAAACATTGTTATTGGTGTATTATTAAATGTAATATTATATTCAATAATAAGAAAATGTAACAGCGCTGTTCGCTATACTTATTAATAAAGTGTTTAAAGTAAAATAACATTGGTGGTATTGCATTCATTTTGGCAGTCCTAGCTGTGCGCATCAAGTTTAGGCAAGCTACACCGTGCGCCAAAAGCTTGACCTAATAATCTAATAATCCTTTTGACATACAACGAATTTAATTTTTTGCCTGGGTAATGGGGTGGTGAAAGTCCCATCCGCGGCGATACTTGGTGATAGGTCGGTAAAAGTCCCATCCACGACGCTCGTAGCTGGCAGGATGCTTGGGGGTTGCGGCAGGAGCGAGTGGAGATATAGTAGGATTGGCGTCGGCAGGACCAGGAGCAGGAGCAGCGAGAACAACGCTGGAGGCGAGAGCGGCAATAATGGCGGTAAAGAACTTCATTATTTAAGGGATTGGATCAATGGCGTGTGTTTGGGAGGAAAAGGTAGACGGAAGGCGAATGTGTTTGATACTGTTTTGTGAGTTGGATTTTGTCGGCAAAAGTGTTCTTCTTATACACGTGTTTTTTCTGGTGGCAGTCGTGTATGCAATTGTTGGCTCTACACTGGTATGTAAAATGCAATTTTAAGCATTGCAAATACACACATTCATTATAGATATTTAAATAGCATGTATGTAGATGAGTTCGTGGTGTGTGGTGTGTGGTGTGTAGTTGTGGTACACAGTTTGTAGTTTGTATAAACGCATGCTGTTTCACATTCTCACACATTCTGATAAAGACGCTTTTAAAAATTTCTTTCAAAAATACTTGGTGTCACAAATGCACAGAGCTAATTTATTTATCTGGATAAGCCGGCAATTCACGAATGAAATATTTTGTTTGCCCGCAGAAAGGGGATGATCGCGAATCTCTTTGTGCGAGTATGTTCCCAATTAAATATGTGCTAAATGCAAGTTCTCGCGGTTATCCTGAAATTTGCTTCACGTCAATGATCGTGTATTTAAAAAAAGTTGAGTTCGAACATATAACATATAACATAGAACTTGCCATTCGTCTTTTTGGCCCAATATCTTGCTCCATTTTCCAAATAAAGACTTTGCGCGCAATACGGGATATCTGCTTATAAACCATGCAAATTGTGATAAAGGGCAGCCTGGCTTCTTTAGCAAATTTACAGATATTTTGAATGCCAATCCTGAACCGCATAATTCTCGATTCACGCATATCAATCGTTGCAAATATTTGGTCTTTAGTTTCCCCTTTGAAAAAGACAAGCACATGCTACTGTGCGAGTCTCTTACTTATATACCAAATAATCAAATTAGAAATATAACTGAAATCAAATATCAAACACCATATGCTTAGCAATATGGCGTAAATTTAAACCACTGCATTTCGGCTGTGAATGGCCCTGCGACCAGTCAACAGTGCCAGCCCAGCCGCTGGTTTTGTGTGCCGTCCCAAACGCCCATGCGAGGACGACTTGCACCAACTGGGAAGGGGACGCCCATCGACACGGGCAGAGTGCGGACCAGCCAGTCGTCAATGTACCACTTGACACTGTCCTTATTAAGCTCGATGGCATAATTGTGGAACCCAGCAGCCATGTCTTGAGGATACCACCAGGGGTGTTTAGATATTGTGGTACAGGATCAACGCGCTGCCCTTTACAAAATACATGGACTGTGCTGTCAAAGTGTCCCTGCCCACCCATTCCCAATCCAGCTCGTCGGCTGGCTGGGCCCCGCCAGAAGAACAGTAGACACAACCCCACTTCCATGCGCAGCGCGGATGCGTCCTTCGATTTTACCGTATTGGAAATCCCACGGAAATACTATTGTCGTGCCGCACTCAGGGGTCAGCCGCCAAACCACAGAGTTTTGCGTTTGGTAGGTGTTTTGGGGACACCATTCGACGTTGAATTTTCCAAGTGCTTCACGATCTGTAAAGTCGATAAATGAACTTTGGCAGTGTAGTTTACCAGAGACCCTGCGGGTTGAGACTGGCGTGCTTTAAGTGTGCGTCTATTGCTGTTGTTCCAGAGGTTCTTGTTTGCAACGAATTGTGCCCTGTAGTCCGGAAAGTCCGCTCACACCACTTATGTGGCCAGCGGAGTAGCCTAACATATCCATTAGAGGTTGCCCAAAAAGCAATAGCAGCGACGGTAGACGAACAATATGTGAACTTCATTTTGAAAATAATTATTAAAAAATTAAAAGGATAGGTGCGATTGTGTGTTGATAAATACGGAAATTCAATAGAAATATGGATGATGCCGCTTGCTTTATAGGAATTTCTGTTGCGTATAAAAAAATGCATATTCGAGAGCAAATTTGTTGTCAATGCCAAACAAATTCAGAAATACCCAATAAAACTGAACATGAGAACATGCATATATTATTAAATTTAGGTCGCACTATTTGAAGGTGGTCACTTCATTTATTATTTTCGTAAATCATCTTTCATACATTACCCAGTGACCACATCAAAACAGAAATGGAATTGCACAATACCAGCAGCTGATCACG